GCCCTGAGCCAACAGCAGGGAACCCTGAAGAAAGATGTGTCCCAGGAAACTGTCCTGAGAGCCAGCGGCTACCCTGGCATGCGGGTCATTCATTCCCTGCCTCCAGGACCTCAGCTCCCACTTAAGATGAGCCTATAAACCACAATTTCAAAGCACAAAAGGAAAATTCAGACTAAGAAAGATAAGTGACGGCATGCAAAATATGGAGATTAATTCATTCCAGAAGAGATGAAGGTAACAGTTATCTAACAGCGATTTTCAAATACATTTAGGAACTTTAAAGAGATAAAGGAATAGCATCCATAAACAAGAATGAAAACTTACGATTCCATTGGCAGAAACGAAACAAGGCAAAGATGAACAAGAAATAATGTAAAATCCCAGAAATTAAAAATAGAGAATTGAGACAGAGAACACACTCGATACGATGTGCTTCAGGAATGCAGTTTGGGATCTGAAGACCACGCGGAGGAATTCTCACAGAAACTTCACAAAGAGACAAAGTCTACGAGAAGACAGGTGAGAAAGATGGAAGGTGGATTAAGAAGCACCAACGTCTCGTCTTACGGGAGCTCGGTCAGAGAGTAGAGAGGGCAACAAGAAGAGCTGGACAGGTAGCTTAGCTCCTGCTCCCAATCGCAAGCCTTTGGTGTGGCCCAGCCTGGGCCCCAGGACCCACCGAGCCCCTTTCGTCTTGGCAGGTGTCTTCCGGTGTTGCCTAAAGGTGAGCAACCCCCAAGTACTACCGCCTCTTCCCTCCCGCCCCTCAGGGCTGCCAGCAGCTTCAGCTCCAGGAACTTGGTGCAGGCTGGGCCTGAGGTGCCCATGCAGGCACCCAGCGGGGCCCCCACCCCCCTGCCCCTGGGGTGTGTGGCTGTTGATCTCAGCCCCTGGGGACAGGATGTGGGCAGGAATGGGGTAGAGAGCAAGCTCACTGCACGGAGCCCGGCCCCCAGAGCAGCCTCCACACCACCAGCCCCCAGGGCTCCAGGGCTCCCTTCTCCCACTGGAGGCCCAGAATCCCCTCCAATCCCCAAGTGTCCTGGCCAGATGCCAGAGAGGCTGAAGGCCCCGCCTCGCCCCAGCCTGACAAGGTCACTCACCCCCCCATAGGCCACCTCACCTGACACCACCCTCCAAGGAGCCACTCAACACAGGGTGCCAGGTGCCCACGCTGTGGTGGACGAGGCAGTTCTGTTCCACACTCCCTGGGACTCTGCACAAGCGGCTTCCCCCCTGTGCGGAGGCTCCTCCTGTGTGTACAGCAGGCCT